TATACGATTGCAAGTTAATGATGTTGCTCTGCTTATTCCGGTTCCGCGTTTTATATCCAACCAGATTCAATGTACTACAATGTATCTAAAGGATGAAGTAGTATGCGTTCGACCACATCGCGTATCTCTGTCACGTGTTGTTGATAAAACTTGAAAACTGGAAACGAAAGTATTTCTAAGGAAGAGCATTTTTTTTATACAAAACATTGGGCTAAAACAGTGGTATGACTACCTCCGGAAATGACAACATCCCTTCCGCTATACACGGTGGCACTCATCTTAAATTTTCAAGGTATAACGTTCCAGCTTAGTGTTTATATATTACCTGGTAAGTATCCCACGGATAAGTGGTGTATGTTGATTAGGCCGTCGCAGTTGAAATAGAGAAATTTTCAACTAATCTGATTGCTCCTTTTACCTAGTTCCGATTTAGTATTTGGAATGGTTGCGAGCATCTTCGCCAGCCAGAGACCATTTATTCGGCCGAAGCCTCAACATTAACCCTTGGCAGATTTCACCACGATTTACTATATGTCGCACGCCCTCAAACGATTATAAGATTTACTTCGGCTCATTTGCATCACCCAATCAGAACTCACGAAAGAAACTACACATTACTTCAAGTTGCATGGTAAAATGGCGGAATCAAATAAGCGTGTTGATAGCTTTTTCTTTGAACGAGCTTACTGGTCATCAAAAGAAAGTGCTTAGTGCTTTATCCGAGGAAAATGACGTGTTTGTTGCAAGCACAGTCGTGTTTGTTGCAAACACAGTCCCTCGACTGTGTTGCAACGACGACCGAATCGGGCAAGTCGATATGTTATCAATATCGACATTATTGTTAGTTTACTAAAACACAGTTTGCACAAATATTTAGACATTCCATCGTCCTCATTCACCTTCCCACAACAAATTGTGAACGTTGGAATGAGACATTTTGTGAAAGTGTCAACCTGTTCTTGCAGGGGCGGATACAGGATTATTTTATGGGGGGGGGGCTGTAAAATCGCCAGACTAAGTAAATAATTTTTTTTACAAAAACAAATTGAATACATTTTTCAACGGGGGTCCGGACTTCAAGAACCCCCCCCCCCTCTAGATCCGCCACTGACTTGACGGGTGAATCAACGCAAAGCCGCCTTTGTTTTAATGTGTGATGAGCTCCCTGATCTTCACATTTATGATACAGCAACTCTGATTGCCGGGTCTGATTGGTGGCGCCAGCTCCTTGGCGCGCCCAATCAAATTACTCAATTTAGCTGCAGTGAAATACAGTGTTTTCCAACACGATTACGCACGGGTTCGTGGGCCGGTTATGAATGGCCGGCTTTGGCGAAACTGTGCGATTCGGACGATGCGTTGCGAGAAGAACCTCTCGGTTATAGGGCTATGGAAAAATATATGCGATTTCTATATATATATATATATATATAGGTCCTTGGCACTATGGTGTTATGTTACAATTGCCGACGCTGAATACCAGAATACCAACGCTGTGTTTGAAAGCGCCACCAACCGCCAAAATACATAATAACTAATGTTCGATTATAGTGTGTGTATATTCGCTCATGTCAGCTCACTCACACTATTTGACTACATGTATATCGTTATCTATATTTTAACCGGACATACGGTCCAATTTTATACACAATGCAGATACTTCCGTCCCGTCATTCCGTGATATAGTACCGATGATTAAAGGACGGTGGTCGTCACGCCGCGTCCTGTTCGATATGGGACTCATAGCGACGTATACAACGCGTGTGCAATACATTGTTTATTTACATGAAATTCGAACACGCGCTGCGCCATGACCACCGCGCTTTAAGAACTGAACCCGCGAACTGAATACTCGGCAAAACAACAAAATGTATCTATACTGCAACTAAGCTATTACGCAGACCATAAACAGCGCCACCATGCGGGTAACATGTCTAAATATCTCCTCGGCTAATCTGGGCGTTGTCACGTATCGGCTTGAGACTTCCCCTGTACTTGCGTGCCGGATGAAACTCTGTTCTCATACAATGTGATGCACGTAGCCCGTACTTTCCTTGATTTTAACTAAGAGTAATTCCCACGAAAACGTGGAGGTACAGCATACTGTTGCGTACAACTCAGTTTAAGGTAGAGATGCAGTTTATTTGGCTTGCTTTTTAATTGAGTAATTAGACAATGAAGATGGTATTATATATCCAACATGTTATATATTTTCTGAAAGCTTATATACAAACTTTGTAAACTTGTCTTTATTTT